GACACTGATCATGCCTTAACAGATAGCAGATATCACACCTTCATTATCAAATTGATTACAAAGAAAATCAAAATGGCAAAAAAAGGCCAACAATATCTTGAAAATAAGGAAATGTTCGATTTATGCTATGCTATTTTCAGTTTTCTGATTAGAATGTCAAACATTGTTGGTAAAGGTAACAGCAGTGATGGTGATTCTTCTAAAAGTAAGGACAAAGAAAAAAAGGAAAAGGTTAACTCTCTTGCTACTGAAGCATTCGATGATTTAATCAAAATGAAATTTCAATCAAGTACTCAAAGAGAAATTGTTAAATTTTTGGAAAGAATTATCGATGTGGGAAAAGAAGCTCCCTCAACAGATGAAGATGATCAAAGAATTTGCCATTTCATGAAATATTTACAAGCATTAGCTAACATGCTTATTCAAAAGAAGTGCTATGTGACGGCAACCTGTATCGTGCGTTTTCTCACTACGTTGACACATTTATTACGAAACAAAACAATGTACTTGGAAACAGAAGGACATTACGAGTGGATTGCTGACGTTTGTAAAACGAAAGAATTTGAGGACAAAGAATTAGGAAAGGCTCTCGTAAATCATTTGGTGTTAATTGCATGTATTTTCTCAGATATGACAAAGATTCATGAAGTAGCTTCGGATGTTCTTGGAAAAGTTGGGCATTTTGAAAATTCAGGCGTATCATCAGTTACAAATATGCTTGTGATTAATTGTCCCTCTGAATCTGCAGATGTCTTGATTTCATATTTTAATATCATTATTGATGACTTAGATTGGAAGTTTCAGCGATTAGAAAGCCTCAAGAAAGACCTTGATAGCTATGAAAATATGAAGCACAACATCTTTCAACAGGCTGCAGTCTTGATTGATTCTATCGAGAAGTTAGCAAGTGCAACTCTCCCAATGGAAGTGAGTGACAAACTCTTCGTGCCGCTCATCAAATATTTCACCTTAATTGCTTCTTTCACAGATACCTATTTGGCTTTACCGAAAGATGACGTCGAAGAATTACCTGAAGAGTTTGTCGACTTGGTTGATCAATGTGGACGCTTTACAAACTCAACTTACTCGTTTATTGATTATCACAACAGCGAGGAAGAAGTTTCCTCAATGAAAGTCATGAGAGAGGCAAGAAATGTTCCAGAACTTGTTTACAGAATGGAAACATCTGAACAGAAATTAATTCTACTCTCCAAAAACTTGAATGTGAACCTTTTGAAGAATTACAAACGGTCTCAAGTTCGATCTTTTATAATTGACCAGAATAAGATAGCAGAAGAAAAGAAGCAAA